AAAGCGAGACCCCATCTCTACTAAAAATAGAAAAATTAGCCAGTCTTGGTGGTGCATGCCTGTAGTCCCAGCTACTCGGGAGGCTGAGGCAGGAAGATAGATCCCTTGAGCCCAGGAGTTTGAGGTTGCTGTGAGCTATGACGACAGCACTGCACTCTAGTCTGGGTGACGGAGCAAGATCCTGTCTCAAAAAACAAACTAACAAACAAAAAAACCCTCGTTGAAGTGTGCACTTAAGATCTGTTGCCCAGGCTAGAGTGCAGTGGCATCAGCTTAGCTGACTACTGTTTGTAGGGGTGCGGTCTCACTATGTTTTCCAGGCTGGTCTCCAACTCCTGGCCTCAAGTGATCTTCCCATCTCAGCCTCCCAGAGTGCTGGGATTACAGGCATGTGCCACTGAGCCCAGCCACAGTGAGTTTTGACAAATGTGTATACCTCTGCAGTCCACCCTCCAGTCAAGACTTGATTTTTCCTTTTCCTCTTTTTTTTTTCCCCCTCCTAGGTTATTTGGGAGCCTACCAGTAAGGAGGAAGAGGGTGGACTCCAGGAGGCAGGATGATGTGCACAGGGAAAGTCTGGAGCCTGCAGCTGGGACCTGAGGGAGGGAGCAGAGTCCAGCCAGGCTGAGATGTGGCTTTTCTTCCCTTTAGCCCTGAGGCTGGGTGTCTTCCCAGGCCAGAAAGGAAGCAAGCAAACCCTTGTCCGGCCCTGGCAAAGGTAGGGTAAGGTCCAGGAGGTTTCACCAAGGAGGCTGGCAATGTCCCGGCCCCCTTAGGTCTTCCTACCTGGATGGCAGAGGGGCCTGCTCTGCTCCTGTTCCAACATTGCAGGGAGAACGAATGGCATTTTCATTTCCCCAAAAGCCAAGGGGCCCGGCGCCCTGAGGAAGTGTGTCCTCTCTCCACAGAGATGAGGTTGGAAAAACTGCTGCACTTCCCATTCCCATTCCCCTCCTTCCCCAGGGGAGGGGGCACTCAACATCAGCAAAGGGAGGGTCCTTGCAGAAGCCATCCTCCAGGCCCAGCCTCCCTGCCACAGAGGCCAGAGAGGGACAGGGCTTCCATGGCCATCCAGTCCAAGTCCCCGTCTTCCTAGAAGCCTGCGAGGGTGACTCCTCCCCATAGGGACCGGGAGATGGTCAAGAAGCTTTCTGATCACCTGCCTTGCCATACTCCACCTTCCACTCCGATTCCCATCTCAGCGTCAGCTCCAGGAGCTCTGTCTGCCTAATCCTTTGTTGGGCGCCTGGCACAAGCTAGGTGCTCAGTAAATGTTGGCTGGATAAACAAACTAATGAAGCCTAGCAACCAGCTGGATGGATGCTTTGCCTTTTGGTTATGTCTTGTCCTGTGTATAAAGCCCTGAGCACAGTGTGGCCCTATCTCAGCCAGATAACAAGGTGGGTCAGATTATATCTTTTGGCACCAAGAAAAAAGGAGACAATATAGGGAACCAGCCAGAGGTGTTGGACAGGAGGGTGGGGCAGGACTCTGAATACTCACTCCCTGGTCCAGGAATGGAGACAAGAATAACATCAGGGTTAGAATTTGGAAGAGCAACACCGAGAATACCATGAGCAAAGTGCAGAATCCAAGGAACCCTTCAGGGGCAGAAGTCCCCAAGAGCAAACAGGAGTTAACAAGAGGTACAGGGATCAGGCAGAAGCAATAGCTACCCAGCATTACTCTTCTGGAGATTGCTGTTAACATGCGTTTCCTCCCCCAGGCTCACCCACCCCTCCTCGATCCAAGTTCCAGCACTAGCCGGAACACATGCATCCTTCTGAGCCTTGGCAATGTTTCGTGTTCACTAAAACAATTTCTCCAACATGCAGAGGCAGACCTCCCTCCCCCCCAAACTGGTAAACAAACAGTGCTATTGTTAAAGCAGGCCCACCACCCCAATTAGAGGGACACAAATTGACACCTCAAGGCAGTATAGCACAGTGGGTTGCATGCACAAATTCTATCATTGAACTGCCTGGGTTCACACCCCAGCCCTGCCACTAGTGACCTTGGGCAGGAGTTATAAATTTCCATGTGCCTCAGTTTCCCCTTCTGTAAAATGGAGGCTAATCATAGTACCTACATCAGAAGGTTGCTGCGAGGACTCAAGGAGTTACCATAAATAAAGTGACAAACACGTGTCTAAAAACGTGGCTCACACTGTATAAATATTTGCCAGTCTGCTCTGAAATAGGATGAGAGTTAAGTTATTGAAAAGATGTTTCCAAAATGAGTCAAACAGACGAGCCAAGCAATGGCCTTGTTACTAGGCAGGAATGTTTTTATGGAAATTAAAGACACAAGGAGGCATTGTTTTACCTAAGCACATGCTTGCTGTGAGTGGTCCACTGACAACTCTCCAGTCTTGGGGGGGTGTGTCTGGCACAGGAGCTGAAATAGAGCTACACAGAGCCTTCCAAACCTACGTGCAAAGAGAAACCAATCACCCGATGCTAGAGCCACGTGCGTGGAGACCTCGCTGAGGAGTGAGAGGGTTTTTCTGTCTAGAAAAAGGGTCTGAGAGAAGTCGCCTGGCACCACAGGGGAGGTGGGGAAGCTCCACAAACTGCAAAGCTCTGGACGGAGAGAAGTTTCCTCTCCAGCAGCTCAGGAGGAAATTGCAGAATTCTGTCCAGTGACAATCCTTCAGTGTCCCCACCCTTTCTCAGGCAAACTCCTACCAGAAGTGACAGCAGGCAGGGCGCCTCCCTCGGTGACAGGGCAAGGAGCTCCAGCACCGCTGAGTACAGTCGAACAGCGGGGGCTGACGTCAAAGCAGGATTTGGCATCTGGAGACGTGGCTCAAGGCTCAGCTCAGCTATTTGTCAGACTGTGTGACCTTAGACAGGACATTCTCTCTGCTTCTCAGGTCCCTCAACTAGAGGTGGGAAGAGTCCCTACGCCTGCCTTCCTTCATTGTAGAAGGGCATTAGCAACAGGTCCAGCCCTATGTACACACCGGTTACTGGTCTAACCAGGTTGCAGTCTATAAGATCCACTCTTTCCTTGGCTTCCTTTCCACTTTCCCTTTAATTTTGAGCATACATGTATTGAGCCCATGTTTTGTGCCAGATGGGCTGCTAAGCCCACAGCTCCTCTGCTGGCCAAGGTCACGGCCAAGGCCCCTGCAGGCCAACTCCTCCTGAGGACCCTTCTGCAGAGTCAGCCCCTACCACCTACTCATATCAGATCTCCTCCTTCCCCAGCCCCAGGGTGGTCTCTGCAGCACCCCCTACAGGCTGAGGCCCTGTGGCACTTAGTGGATATTTCTAGAATCCAACCCCACCCCAGCACCTCCCCTGCTCCTCTGGTGTCCAAGCCACCACCACCCCTCACCTGGGTATGCAGAGGACTCCTAACTGGTCTCCCTGCCTCCAGACCTGCCTCTCAGCCTACTCAGCACACAGACAGAGGGGCCTTTGCAAGTGACAGAGCATTTTACCAATCTGCCCAAGCCCTTCCCATGGATCCCACCTCACAGAGTAAAAGCCACACCCTTACAACAGCCTACAAATCCCTTCTCCTGTGACTGTCAACCTTGGCTGCATATTGGAATCACCCAGGAGCTCTAAACAACACGGATGCTGAGTGCCAGCCCTGGGAATGCGTATCTAACTGGTCTGGGGTGTGGCTCTGGCATCAGGATTTTTTTTTTTTTAAATTCCCCAGATGAGTCGAATATGCAGCCAAGGTTGAGAACCACTGTCCTACTTGATGGGCTTCCTGCTGCCCCTCTGACATCCCTGACCATTGCCCTCTGTGCTGCATTCCAGCCACGTGGCCTCCTTCCTCCTCTTCAAACATGCCAAGCATGTTCCTGCCTTCTACCACAGGGCCTTTGTACTTGCTGGTCCCTCTGCCTGGGAAGTTCCCCCTTCCCCTGAGCATCCCCATGGGTCACTTCCTTTTCTCCTCCAGGTCTTTGCTCAAATGTCACCTTCTTCATGAGACCCTCTCTGACCACCTATAAAAAATTGCCACCCCCACTCCTATGCCAGGTGGCCCTGCCTCCCTCTCCCACTTCATCTTTCCATAGCACTTACCACCATCTAACACACTACATATTAGACGTCTTTGTTTTGTTTACTGCCTGTCCAACTAGAACGCCTGCTCTGCGAAGGCAGGGGTTCCTGCTCTGTTCACTGCTCTATCCCTGCGCCTAGGCTGTGCTGGCTCAGAAGCGCTTAACAAATAACCTTTAAATGATACATATTTTTCTCTCCCTCTGCAGATTCTCAGCTTTTTCATCCCTATAGGGCCAGGAACAACCATAGCTACCTATACAACATACAGCAGGTGCTCCATAAATGTCTATGAAGCTGAACTGAATCTTCCCTCTAAAAGAACATAGCCTCCAAACCCAGCAGCAAGACCTTTCCCAAAGGTCCCAGCTATAGGCTCACTATGGTTTGCAGCTTTAAGAACATTTTAAAAATAAGGAGAAAGAGGGGAAAGGAAGGTGTGGGGAGCGGCAAAAGTTAATGAGATTTTTTTCAGCTGTGGTACGTGCCCACATTTTTAATAATTAGGAGTAATAAAAATTCTCACTGAGCCTTAAAGGAACATCCTTCTGTAACAATGAGAGAAGCTGAGGCAGACTTCTCTGTCAGATGTAATGACTTGTTAGCCATGCAAGATGGATGTACTTTAAAAACTCATTTACGGAAAAAAAATTGTTCATAAAATGCAACTAATTGGGTTAAAATGACATATTAAAGGAAATGCCAGATGATTCCAGTGCCCTTAAGCAGTAAATTAGGTTACGAATCCTCAAAATCTCTAATGGAAGAAAGCCTTCCCCTACTGAGCAGATGGAGAAACTGAGGCTGAGGGAAGAGGAGGGTGACTTGCCTAATGCAGGCTGTGGGGACAGACCCTGGCTGAAGCAGCAAAGGGACCCAGGAGTCCAGGCGCCCAGTCCTGGCTCTGTTCCCAGCACTGCGGGGACCCCATCTCCCCAGGCTGACAAGAGCCCAGTCACTGACTCTGCTCACCCACTGGGTCTGAGGTCGGGCAGGGGCCGGTCGAGGGGCAGGCGGTCACTGAGGTAGGCGTTGTAGCCGTAGTACTGGAACTGCTTCAGGGCCACGCGCCGGCCTTCGGGGCTGAGCTCCTGGCCCCAGTGTGCAAACAGAGAGGAGTCTGTGAAGGGCTCAGCCTCTGCCTCCTCGGGCTTGGGAGGAGCCTCTGGAGAAAGAAGGAACAGGAGACGGTGGGTCAGAGTGCACCCCTGCATGTGCCATGACAACCCCTTTCCCTTCCTCACAACAGCCGTGGGTAAAACAATCTTAGCCCCTTCTTTGGGGGATGGGGGGAGACTAGAATTTTCATGCTTACCAAAGACTCATTCATCCACGAATCCATCCACTCATCCATCCAACAACTGCTAGGCACGAGAGATACAGTAATATACCCAACAGGGTCTGCCAAGGAGCTGATGCTTCATGCCTCCTTTTCCAGTCTGCCTCCCTGCCAGAGATGTTGACCCCAGCCCTTGGCCTGGGCTTCTGCTTCTCTCTCCCCAGCCCATTCCCCACTCATCCTGAGCCTGCCATACCCAGGCCCCTGACCCAGGGGTCCACTCCTCTGCCCAGTTCTTGCCAGCCCAGCTCCCTCTCCACTGTCTGGTCCTGCTGTGAGTTGCCTGAACCCAGCATACGACGTTCACCTGGCCGTGAGCACCCCTGGCCAGACCGCCTCCTGCTGTTTCCAGACGCTGCCCACCAGAATAGGGAATCAGTGACACAAGCGACAGCCAAGCCACCCCAGCCCGCCCTGCACTCCAGGCCCTGCTCATTGGAACCCTGGTGGACTTCATGGAGGCAGCCTGACTCCAGTTCGAGGACAGCTCAGGGATTCCCAGGAACTTCCCAAGAAAATGTAGAGGGCATTATTACCTATAAGAGCAGAGGCTTTGGATTCACACAGTCACAGATTCAAATCACTGCTCCACCATGTACTGGCTATGTGACCATAGCAAACACTCAATGTCCCTAGGCTGAAATTTCACCACCTGTAATGTGGGAATAATACCCACCCACCCTCCAGAGGTTTGTGAGGATCACATTAAATAATGTGTATAAAGCACTCAGATTGGCATATGTCTCAGTACAAGTGCACAATGAATGGTAATTAGAGTTATTACGCAAGGGAAGGTCATTTAAATCTCTTTCATGGGGAGGGGGGCAGGATAACAGGTAGATCTTGCCAGGACATGGGTTGATAGGCCAGGACTTTGGAATAAGCTCCCTGGGACAGGTAGCCAGGTAAAGCATTCAAGGGCAGAAGTCAGAGAGATTGGACAGAGATGGCAAGCACACTGGACAGTGCCTGCTGTGCCCACAAACATGTGAGGCATGGAAGAGATGGATCCGGGAGCCTGGAATAAGACAGAGCAGGGCAGGAACCGGAAAGGCAGGCTCGGGGCCCTGCCAATGTCCTCTCAGCTGCCCAGTGGAGCCAGGGGGTGCACGGCCCACCTGAAGGCACAGGCTGGAGACAGGTAAGGGGCTAGGGCTCCAGGGTCTCCAAGGCTGGGAACTCAGGGATACAGACTGCCACCTCCTCTTGGGTCACTCTCCTAAGAGCAGCTCTGGGAGAGAGAAGGAGGCCTGGGAACAAAAGGAGGAGTCTTCCAACACCCAGGCTCCTCCTACCATGGAAGAGGTGCTCCGGTGGCAGGAAGCGCCTATCGCCGGAAGTGCACAGGGGCTATTGAGAGCAAAAGGGTACTTAGAAAGCTCATGACTGTGAAAGCAGAGTGAGCATGCTGATGCCAGAGACCTCAGCGAGAGAGACACAGAAAGATGCATGCATGGACTCCCAGTGCCGGCTGAACTCACTAGGCGAACCTACAGAAGCCACCGCTCCTCTCCCGGACACCTCCAGACCGGACACTTGCCTGACTCCTGGGGTACCCACCATAGCTAACACGTGCGGAGTGCTTCCTCCTACCGCGTGCCAGGCTCTGTCCTAAGCGCTGTTCACGTATTGACTCACCTTACTCTGTAAGGGAGGAACTATTATCATCACCTCCATTTTATAAAGGAAGTGAGGCCCAGAGAGGGTAAGAAACATGCCCAGCATCACACAGAAGGAAGTGCAGTAGGGAGATCCAGCCCCTGGAAGTCTGCCTCCCTGGGCAGTGCTCCTCCCACTATGCCATGCTCCCTCCACATGCTGAATTCCAAAGGCAAGCATGGCATACCGTCTCAGTAGCCAAATTTCCTTAAAGATGCAAAAGGAAACAGAAACATTAAACAGATTAGGATATATTGAGGACGAAGCTCCATCCCAGAACTCAGGGTGCACTTGCGCATTCTTCGCCCCTACCAGGCGTGCTTGAAGGGAAGCACAAGTCTGCATGATCTTGAAGGTCCTTGTTATCTCTAAAAAGATGTATGACTCATTCGTTCGGAACGGGGGGCAGTAAAAATCTAAATCAGTGAACCAACTGAATCATATAATGTTTAAAAGAAATGCAGTTTTATTGCTCTCAAATACCTAAATGGATATTACCAAGTAAAATGAGATAAGTTAATGAAAAAATTATGATTCAAAATTAGGCCTGCATTGCATAATAATGTATTATAAACATATTAAAGTCCTGGTGATACCACGTGCTCCTATCTTTTTACTCAGTATGGGTATGAATGACAACCGCCTCAAAACCCACGGGTCCTGAAAGATGAGCTGGGGGCACTACGGTGGGAAAGGAGCAATTTTTGTTGGATTCCTACCATGGATTCCTGTTAAGAGCCAGGCACTGTGTTGGTCACCTCCTTATCCAAGGTTACCTCTCTCCATCCTTGTGGGTGTGACTCCACAGGGCAAGGCCACCTCTGACTTGTTCCCTGCTGCATTGTCGGCTCCTAGCACAGTATGTGGCTCTTACAAGGGACTCAACAGATAATTTTTAAATAGATCATTTAATAAGTAATCCAGAGTGGTTAGTTATTATACCAAAGAAAATAAAAAATGAAAAGTTTTAATGACTAATCCAAGGTCACCCAGATGGTCAGGGACATTGCACAAAGGTCTGGCTTCTCCAAACCCCATATTCTTTCCTCTACACCAGGGCAAACCATGGCCCAAGGGCCATCAACAATTTATGTAAATATATTGAAACATAATCACATCCATTTGCTTATATATTATCACTGGCTGCTTTGGGGCTACAAGAGCAGAGTTGAGCATCTATGGCAGAGAGCACAGACCTGGGAAGCTGAAAATACCATCTGGCCCTTTTAGAAAAAGTGTGCCCTCCCCCACCCCTTGCACTTTACAGTTGACTCCCCTTAGGTAAGGAGGTCATGCCTCCGTGAACTCCATTCATTTTTCCTTTCCTTTCCAAAGAACTGGTTAAGAACGCTGGCTGTAGAGTCAGAATCCTAGGGCTCATACTCCAGCTCTACCGTTTACCAGTTTAGTCTACCTTATCCTGAGCCTCAGTTTCCTCATCTGGAAAATGGGGTTGATAATAATAGCACCTTCTTCATGGACATTTGTGAGTGTAAATGAGATGGTCCATGTAAGGAGCTTGGCACAGTGCAAGGCACATAGTAAGCTCTCACAAATGCTACCTGCGGAGGACCCACACAGCACACAGCCCATCAGGACTTTTCCACCAACACCACTTGAGCTCAGATGAGGAAGATGACCCTGTCCTGGGGTCCCCAGCTTTGAAAGATGCTGATGCTGTCTACCTGTCAGATGAAGGATCTCCATGTCCATAGACAGGTGGCCTACCCTGAGCCAGTTTGGACCCAGCTCCCTTCTCCAGTAAGAAAGCAGGCACACGGCTGTCCAGCAAAGGAGGACCAGCTTTGACATGGCAGAGGACAGGACAGGCAAAGAGGCCCGAGAAGTACCCGGGCCAGGTCCTCTGCAGGGGTTCTGGGGTCTCTGGACACATGTGGTGATGATCAGGCCCTTGGATGTCTCTTATCCAGGGACAAGGCATCTCCCAGGAGTGGACGCGGACTGAGGCAACTGCTGGGGTTCACGCCTCCTTGGGCGCGTCTGACTGATGGGGTGACTCAAGAAAGGTGTGTATACCAGGGGCAGGGGGCCCAGGGAGGGCTCATTCAAGGCCAAGATTGAGCAGGGCACAATGAACTCGGTCCAGGAGCAGAGCCAGAGCCTTCAGAGGAGAGTGTCTGGGGGATTCTGAGTACAACATAGAGCTATTATCCCACCTGCCCTCTTCCAGCCCTGGCTGCCTGTCTGGGTCCCAGGGAGAAATAGGCTGAGAGGGAAACTGAAAGAGCTGCTTTACCAGACAGCCACACGTGGGTGGCACTTGTGTGGCACAGTCCACTTTCCCTGACTCACCATGAATTACGTGATTTGGCAGGAGGAGACCCCGGGGCCAGTGGAGACATTACCATGCTACACGCCTCTCTGCTCAGGACACTCCAGTGGCCTTCTGCCTCCCTCATGTCAAAGACAAAGTCCCACCTAACACCTGCAAGGCCCGGTGCTGGCCTCCCTCCTCTACCCCTGGCTTTCTCCCCTCCAGCCACACCGGCCCCTCATCCGACCCACCAGGCACATCTCACCCCAGCGCCTTGGCTTTTGCATTTCCCTCTGTGTCCTCGTGGCTAGGTTCCCTCTTCTGTGCCACTTTGTCAGCAAGGCCTGTCCTCAACATTCAGCCCCCTCCCCAGTATTTATATATATATATATATATATATATATATATATATATATATATATAAAATTTCCGTCTATCTTGCTTGTCGTTTGTCTCCCCGACCAGAATGTGGCTCTGTGAGGTTTGCTTTGCTCTCCACTGACTCCCTCAGACTTAGAACAGCATCTGGCACCTAGTGGGTGCTTGACCAATATCAGTAAAACGAACAAACGGCAGTAGCGGCAGGTCTTGGGGGAATCGGAAAGCCTCCTGCCTGCTAGAGACCCCCAAAATCTTTCAGAGAGACTGGAAAGGGGACAGGGGTCCAATGCCAGCAGGTGGGGGCATGAGCCAGTGAAGCCATGGCCAGGGCGAATTCCAGTTGCACGTGGTTAATTACCTGCCTAGTCCACTTAAGCAAATGGTTTTGCACAGTTAGACAGACTGACAGTGCACTCTCAGAACCTTCTCAGGTAGTTCCACGGAATATGGACATTGGTAGACAATCTCCACCGCTCTCCCTAGCTTTGGGCAAATCTCTTACACAAGAGAT